GTTCTACATACCTTCTGCTCCCGCTCTTTCACCTTGTCAGAATGGTAGTTTGGTTAGGGATAGGCTTGTCTTCTTTATCAGTCGCTTGGTCCACTCTGACTCCACAAGGAATATTAAACGATGGAGCCAAATTTTAAATCCTCTTTTTATGCAAACAAACAAAGATCTTGTGTTTCAAATTTCCTATAAAAGCGCGCGAAATGGGCCTTCGGCGCGAAGGGGCTTGGACAGTGTTGCGAACCCATTGCGGAGGCACTCAAGGGAAATTTGGGTACCCTGTTTAAGACAAACTTCTCATTTCGCTACCCTGTTTAAGACAGAAGACACTACTTTCCGACCCTGATTTGCTTTGTTTTTCATTCAGAACTAAGTAATTTTTCACAATAAATTCGTGGAAATAGATATTTAGGAAAAAAAATTATCAGTATTGCAAATGTAGACTGCTCATGGCAAGTCTTCACACTCTTTGAAAGGCTTTCAGTCCAAAACGACTGAAGACTGAACAGCAGCATCAACAAGAAGGTCTGTAGATCTTTTCCAGCTTTTTGTTATGTAAAAAATAAAAATACAAAAGTGGTCTTGAAAAGGGAAACTGAATCAAAACAAATACAACTTGATATTTTTCTTTTTTGTGGTGTTATAGTGCATAAAAATCATGGCAGCCAGGTATTCTACACGCCCCAAGCGAAGGCCGAAACCTCACCCATACAACAACTTCTCTAGTGAATTTGAAAAGAAGGAGTATTTTGATACCGAGGAAGTACTGACAGAGAAGACGGATCAGTTGGTTCAGTGGATCCGAGAGAGTCACCACTGTATTGTTTTCACCGGGGCTGGGATCAGCACGAGCACAGGCATCCCAGACTTCAGGAGTGGAGTGCACACTGTGTTGCCCACTGGACCTGGAGTCTGGGTGCGCAAAGAGAAAAGAATGCAACCACCACCACAACAAAAAATTCTTGGAGCTGTGCCCTCTCACTCTCACATGGCTCTTCTTCAACTTCAACGGGAAGGTCTAATAAAGTTTATCGTGTCCCAAAATACCGATGGCTTACATCGGAGGTCTGGAGTTGATCCTACCACGTTAGCTGAGCTTCATGGTAATACTAACATGGAAAAGTGCTTGAAATGTGGAGTGAAGTACATGAGGGATTCCTGGACTCGCACGGCGCGTGCAGTGCATGATCACCTGACTGGGCGGCGCTGTGATAATCCCAAGTGTGGAGGACCCCTGGTGGACTCCATCATCAACTTTAATGAAGACCTACCTGAAGAAGAGCTTCAAAAAGGGTTTGAGAATGCAGAGTTGGCAGACCTGTGCATAGTGTTGGGCTCCAGCCTTAGAGTGTATCCTGCTGCTGACATTCCTGATGGTATAATCAGAAGAGGAGCAAGAGTGGTCATAGTAAACCTCCAGACAACTCCCCTCAACAAATGTTGTACAATGGAGATACATGCTAGGATTGACACTTTAATGGAAGGTATCATGAAGCGATTTGGCTTGGAAATTCCACAGTTCCAACTAAAACGCTGCCTTGCCATTGAAGTTACATCTGAGTCACTCACAATTCAAGGACTTGATCCTGTAACCAAAACTCCTTACTCTTTCATGAAAAGTGTAAAGGTCGAGCTACCATCCCTCAGATCCGAACATGACCTCACTAAAGAGCCCTTTTATGTCAAGTTCCCAAGACATGTGAGCCCATCAGAAGGAAATGCTTTAACAGTGGATGTCACTCTCGCCTTCCAAGGTCATTACGGTGAACCAGAGATAACAATCAAGCATGTGGTTAGTAAGCTTGGAAGTACAATCTTCATGCTGAAGTTTGATGTTGCAACAGGAGAATGGGAAATTGAGAAACAATGAAAGCAGAAAGCTGTAAAAGCTGGAAAAGTACTTACAGAAAGCTTGCAAAATCTCCCAGCAGGGCATACTAATAGTTTAATTGGTTAGTAAAACATAAAACACCATAATAATAACTGCTGCCCGGTTGTCATTTTTACAGCATTTATTATGTGGCATCAGGATGTATTTTGAAAACTTTACATTATTAAAACAAAGAGGGCAGAGTGTAACTGGCAAGAATTGAGAAATTACTTGAAGATAAAGTATAATAAAGCAATTATTAGATTCGGTTTTTGTGATATCCGGAATAATCAAGGTCTTGGTTAGTGTTATCAGCCTCAGCCTTCGGCTTCGGCTGATAACACTTACCTTGACCTTGATTATTCCAGATATCACAAAAACCTCATCCAATAATTGTTTATTATTATAAAAGTAAATACGAAGAGGAAGCTTTTGACCAGGCAATATTATAATGTGAATTGCTGAGAATACATATCAAACAATACAATAGAATTTTTTGCAGAATATATTAGCTGTATTAGAAAGCAGCAGGTCATTTCAGGAGGGGGTGGAACCCCCTGCACCCCCCCCCCCTAGATCTGTCACTGGGTAGTTCCCTTCCAGCTAGCTAATCAGAGCTTGTAAATCAAATTTGTGCTTACACATAAGATATATAAGAAAGAATGTGTTGTATAATTAAACCAAAGGGCAATGAAAGCAAACTCCACAAGTTTCTCTTAACATCATCAGCAGATGACCAAGAGTAAAGAAATATTATACTAAAGAAATACTAAATTGGTTTTCAAAGGGAGAATTAATCTTAAACAAATTCTCTCAACTATTCTTAAAAGAAATATATGGAGATCAGTGTGGAGAATCTGTAAGTGGATCGTGGTGCTTAAAGGGTTAATATGGACTCCTTTCTTCCACAGACCCTCTTTTAGGTTTCAGCAATTCCATGTAGAAATAATATTGTATTATGTGTTTTAAACAGTATTAGAATTTTTAGCTTGCAAACCATATTCAAAATCACTTTTATTTGTATTAAAAAATCACAGAAATAAGTCTTTTTCTTGGATTAATAAAAATTTTAAAGTCCTGAAAGATTTGATCAGTCCCATTCAATGTTCCATGCTCTCAGTGAGGCAGCCAGGATGAGGAAAAAAATTAAGTAAATAAGAAAAATATAAAGAACTATAAAGAAACAGACACAATACCCTCTGTTTGTCTGTCTCTCTTATTTTTCCAAAAGGTTTGAATCTTGCACGCATGTTTTAATTTGGACCAGAATTATTAATAAATAATTTATTAATAATTCTGGTCCAAATTACTTTGGTTGATAATAAAAAACTTCAAATCACAAATGGCATTTTATGTAGTTATATGGAAAATACCTGCAACTATTAACAACAACAACAACCTTTATTTGCAGGACCATACAAGCACATTATACAGTATTGCAAAATTTTATGAATTGTAAATTAATATATAGTAATATGTTCATCAGTTCATTGATCAAACCATTCACAGGTAACTGGGTAAAATAATTTAGAATAATAATCTTAACTTTATTGTAAAGATTATTCCTAATCAAAGAGTTAATTATTTATAACAATAATTATGTAAAAGAAAGTGAACTTCGTCTTCTGTTTGATTTAGTGGATCCACAAAAAGGGCAATTCCGTATTATCTCTGGTAGTTAAATGATTGTATCTAAGTACTATCATTAGTTTTTGGTTACTTGTTCATAATTTTACTAATTTCTTTATCTCAGCTGTTCCACTTGTTAAGTCTAGGTAATTAGAAGTGGTATGATCGTTTTCAAATCGCTTATTAAGTAAGCAAAACAAACTACATATTCAGTACTAATAACTGTTGTGCACAGTGTCGCAAAAACTGAAAGATGTAAAGTGACTAATTTAATAGCTTTATCCATAGACTTATCCCATTTTATGATACAGCTTCTCTTTAGTTCACTTGGTATGAAAATTTGTCATACCATAAAATAATAATAAGTGCATTAACTTCTACATCCTTTGGAAACGAGTCTTCTCTTTTATCCTTTTCATTAAAATGATGGGTTCTCACAGCAAATGGTGTTATTTCCATTACATCAAAGTAAATACCAATATTACCATCATTACCAGGACTGGTCCTCCCAAGAGCCCTCTGCTGATGAGTCCCTTTTGGACTGCAGATATTACAAAAATTTGTTTGAGCATTAAGGACAACAACAACTTACTGCACTTTTATTTAGTATTTCCTACAAATTTTAGGATCGTATTTTTACTCCATACAAACACCGCAATTTTACTGGTACTATCACAGAGCCTGGGTTACCTGTGGTGAAAATAAATGAATAAAATATAAGCAAATTCAGCTCCCTATTCCCTAACCCCTAATCCCCTACCTGGGTAAGGGCACTGCAAGAAAAAATGACCAGGATGCAAAAGAAAGGACTTCCAGTAACCAGGACCCTCAAACAAGGGGGAAAGGGTGGCGGCTCTGCCACCCTTTCCCCTCCCCAGACTACCTATTGGCTCTCTATCCCAATTTTTTTCACCAAAGCCGATTTTTTCTTAGCCCTGGAGACAAGGTTTGCTTTTACCCCCATTGAGGAGCCTAGTCCCAGGCTTAACTCCAGGCTAACTAGCTTGCTAACCGAAAAGATGATGACCATAAGATGACCATGGCCCCTTACCAGCCCCAGTCCCCCGTTGTCCGACTTGAATATTTATTCCGTGGACAGCAATTTTGATGAGGTGACAATTTTCAGTTCTCAAACGGATAAACTTCTATTCATTTCTGCAAAAAGGTAGGCTTAAGCCTAATTTAATTGTAGCTAATTTACAAAGGTTTCGAGTTCGATAAAAATATTTCACTCAAAAATAATTTTTTTCACTCTTTGCGATCGATAGACCAAGCTTTCTGAGTTTCAAAATCTTTAATAATGTTTTTGTTGGCATTGGTCTCCATGGTTATGGCTACGGTTTGATGTAACCAAGGAATACCCTTTTTTCCTTTGAGAAAGTTTTGGTTTTCTCAAGATCGATCTTGGAGAAAATGCATGTGTATTCCACAGTTAAAACCAGTACAATTTCACGTTAGTTTATCAAGCTATCAAGCCTTTTTACTCGGATCTACATAAGCTTACCTCGATCAATTCTCCGACTCTTTTAGCCTCTCAGCAATGCAATCGAAGAAATACTAGCTATTCCGGCTTGGGACAGGCAATTGCTTAGTCCAATCGACAACGATAGAGCCGATTTTTTAAGGGTTTTGGAATTCCCTTTTCCGCCTTTTAAACTTTCTTACGTGATGATGTCTGCAACCCAACAAAGTTGTCGTGTTTCAAATTCCCTAAGCGCGCGAAATGGGCCTTTTTGGCGCGAAGGGGTTTGGGCTCAGGGGCCCGTTTCTCGAAAGTCCCGATAATTAACGGGCCCGGTAAGCCGTCTACGTTTATATTAAAGATCGAGGTTTCAAAAGTTTTGCATCTAGCATGATAAAACTATCAGTTAGTGAAACAAAATGAAGCAGTTTGCTAACCAGGACCCGCGCTCTTATTCTTTATATTTCGATTTGAATATTTGATTTCGGGCCCGAAAAGTTACCGGGACTTTCGAGAAACGGGCCCCTGGGGACTGAATGAAAAAGCAACAACAACAACAGCAGCAGCAAAAAGAAGCGGGAAGTGGTGTGCAAGGAAAAAATTGAATCAAAACTTATCATAATATTTTTCTTTTATGTGTTTTGATAGTGTGTATCATGGCTGCAAAGTTCCCAACTGGTTCAACCAAAGCTGAATCCCTGTTCATGGAGGCCAAAAAGGACCTAAGAGAACTGGAGGATGATTATAAGACAGCAACAACAGGAAAGAAAGATTCTAAGCCAGCAGGCAAATCTAAGGGCAAAGCAGCAGCAAGCTCTAAATCTGCCTCCAATCCACCAAGGAATTCTACACGCCCCAAGCCCAAACCAAAACCTCACAATAACATCTCCAGTGAATTTGAAAAGAAGGAGTATTTTGATACAGAGGAGGTACTGGCAGAGAAGACTGACCAGTTGGTTCAGTGGATCCGAGAGAGTCGCTACTGTATTGCTTTTACCGGTGCTGGAATCAGCACGAGTACTGGTATCCCAGATTTCCGTAGTGGTATCAATACTGTGCTACCAACTGGACCTGGAGTCTGGGAACGCAAAGCCAAGGGGGTTCAACTGCCATCACAACCACAAAAGACGAAGTCTATTCTTGGAGCTGTACCCTCCCCCTCGCACATGGCCCTCCTTCGACTGCAACAGGAGGGTCTAATAAAATTTGTTGTGTCCCAAAATACCGATGGCTTGCACCGGAGGTCTGGAGTTGATCCTAAACTGCTGGCTGAGCTTCATGGTAATACTAACATGGAAAAGTGTCTAAAATGTGGAGTGAAGTACATGAGGGATTTCAGGACTCGCACTTCTCGTGCAGTGCATGATCACCTGACTGGGCGGCGCTGTGATAACCCCAAGTGTGGAGGACCCCTGGTGGACTCCATCATCAACTTTAATGAAGACCTACCTGAAGATGAGCTTCAAAAAGGGTTTGAGAATGCAGAGTTGGCAGACCTGTGCATAGTGTTGGGCTCCAGCCTCAGAGTGTATCCTGCTGCTGACATTCCTGATGGTATGATCAGACGAGGAGCAAGAGTGGTCATCGTTAACCTCCAAAAAACTCCCCTCAACAAATGTTGTGCAATGGAGATACATGCCCGGATTGACACTTTAATGGAAGGTATCATGAAGCGATTTGGCTTCGAAATTCCACAGTTCCAACTAAAACGCTGCCTTGACATTGAAGTTACATCTGAGTCACTCACAATTCAAGGACTTGATCCTGTAACCAGAACTCCTTACTCTTTCATGAAAAGTGTAAAGGTCGATCTACCATCCCTCAGATCCGAACATGACCTTACCAAAGAGCCCTTTTATGTCAAGTTCCCAAGTCGCGTGAGCCCATCAGAAGGAAATGCTTTAACAGTGGATGTCACTCTCGCCTTCCAAGGTCATTACGGTGAACCAGAGATAACAATCAAGCATGTGGTTAGCAAGCTTGGAAGTACAATCTTCATGCTGAAGTTTGATGTTGCAACAGGAGAATGGAAAATTGAGAAACAATGAAATCAGAAAGCTGTAAAAGCTGAAAAAGTACTTACAGGAAGCTAGCAAAATCTGCCACCATAATATACCTAATGTTTTAGTTACTAACACATAAAAATATGCCACAATATCCACATACAATATCCGCATACAAATTCTCCAAACTGATCTCCATTCATTTCCTTACAGCATCAGCTGAGAAAATTTGTTCAAAGATCAAAGCATTTTCCCCTTAGGTGATCATTTTATTTATTCTCATAAACTTTTCTGTTAATTATTTATGGATATTGCCAGGAGAAAATAGATGTTGGTCACTCTTGAGGGTTAAAGGGTTAATATGTACACCTCTACTTCATGCACTCTCTTTTATGTTTCAGCAATCCTGTGTAGAAATCATAATAAAGAGCTTTAGATTCTAAGATGAGGACAACTGCAAGTGCGATATTTTCTCAATCATACTATTGTAATCCTCACATGTTAACCCGCATCATTTTGTTGGGAAAAGGTGATAGTCGCTGTCATTCTACTATGAGTTTTAGGCAGAAAGTTGTAGTGGTCAAAACAAGTTATAAAATGTTGGACGTTTTATCATTTTGCAATCAGGAGAGGGTTTAACCTGCTTCAAAAAAGATAACAGTGTTTACCTTTTTGGGTAAAAAAAGACAATAAAGCTTCCTGGGGCTTCTATTTCGTGAGGATACACCAAAAAACTTTAAGTCAAATCTTGTACTCATAGTCGTCCCCGTTCTCGAATATAAACCTTTCTATTATTGTGTTATCTGCTTTAAACGGCACCAGACTGGCAAACCTTATTTTGATCACTTTTATTCATATAAAAATATCACAGAAATAAGTATTTTTCCTAGATTAATAAAAATTTTAAGGAAAGATTTGATCAGCACTATTTCCTGTTCCACCTTCTCAGCCGCCTAGCCAGGATGACGAGACAAATAAAAAAGTGAACACAACAAAATAATATATTAAAGGACTATAAAGAGACAGACACACTACCCTCTGTTTGTCTTTCTCTTGTATTATTTAAAATGCTTTGAATCTTTCATGCATGCCTTAATGAGGACCAAAATTAATAAATTGTTTATAAATTCCTTTGGTTGATAGAAAAACTTCAATCACTAATGTCATTTTCGGCAATCCAGAGAGTACCTGCTACTATGTGAAAACTTATGGCAACAAATTGCTTATTGTTTAGGTAATGTCATTGCTGCAATGTCAAAAAAACTGAAAGATAATTTGTAAAGTGACTCATTTAACAGTTTTATTCATACACTTATACCATTTTATGATATAGCTTCTCTTTAGTACACTTTGATATGAAAATTTGTCATGCCATAAAATACTAATGATATAAGTTTACGTGGTTCTTTAAAGACTAAATTTATAATTGCAAACTGGTCATTTTTTTCTATATCTACTGTACTGCCTCCAGTCTTGAGTATGTTGTCAAGCCTACCCTGGGGTAAGTGAATTCACAGTAAAAAATAACAAAGGTGATTGCACACTCTTTCAGAGAGTACATTATCAAGATATATTATTTTTCTGCCTTGACAGTTATTGAATTGCACAAACCAGATAATCCAGATTTATTTGGTTAAAAAATACTTTCAGCTTTCCAGTTTAGCTTTCTTAGATTGTAGATGGCTATCAACTACAATACTTTCTTCCAATTTCTTGTACCTAGCTGTCAATGCATCATAGATTTCGTGAGCATTGCCACATGGTTCTGCAACCAAACTGTAAGGAGGTGCAGCCTGGACCACACCCATAAAAGATGCTCCCCTTTCTGCCCTCTCTAAACCGTGTTTAGCACGATAAGCACATCCTAGGCATGCAGAATTGGCAGTGTCTTTGATAGTATAGACTGGAGCATTAAACACATCAGCTATCACTTGAAGTATGCCCAGATTTGATGACGCACCTCCGGTAGCAAGGATGCTTGTACTTGGACCTACAAAAAATAAAATAAAATTTTAGCCAAATTCCTACATTTTAGTAATTTCAGTAGTCATGACACAAAATGGCAAGATGTAATAGCATGTCATAACAAGTCTTTTTAATAAAATAATATATTCTTGACTCTGGTAATGATAAAAAGCCAGGATAAAATAGAAGAAGGCCACTATCTGCCAGTTCTTTTTCTTACCTAACGTGTACCCAAGTGATTCTGCATGAGCTCTCTTGGCCATAAACTGTCCTTCAATAAGTGCTCTGACTTCTACATCCTTTGCAAAGGAGTCCACTCTTTCATCCTTTTCATTAAAACGATGGGTTCCCACAGCAAATGGTGTTATTTCCATTACATCAAAGTAAATACCAATTTTACCATCATTACCAGGACTTGTTCTTTTAAGAGCCTTTTCAAAGGCCTCCCAAGAGCCTTCAGCTGATGTGTCCCTTATGGACTCTCTAGTAAGGGAGCCATTTTTGAAGCAAAGAAGGGCCATGTAGCCATTTTCTAGTATTAAAATATAACAATAGTATTAAACATGTCCTCTAATTATTATGATAAATTAAGAGGTTAGGAAGATAAGAAATATACCTGGCTGCCTTAGTTTTAATAACAGTAGAGATAGAAGGGACACCAAATGTGATACTGAGGCTGACAATAAAGTTAGTTCCTCCAAAATCGAGTCAACCAAGGCTTTCCCCATTTCCTTGGCTTCTTCAAATGTTATCAAAGGTATTAAAAGGAAACTCATTCTCATAATTATTACTTCAGTATCTTGAAATGGTTATCATTTCAGTAACAAACATGAGGTCAATGGTGCACTCATTTTACCACCCTCCTCACCCCAGGATGCAAAGAAAGTCATTTTTAAAGCTTGCCATTCGGGCAAGCTGAAGATAGAATATACTAGCCCAAACGTCATTTCAACTAGCCCCAAAAACATTTTGATGAGCAGAAATGATTTCACAGTTCTTCTGTAATTTGAGTTCCTCAAAAGACATCACTTGCCTGTCAGGCAAGTTAAGAACAAAGTTCACTAGCCCAATAGCAAAATCCACTAGCCCCAGGCTATCAGACACTACTTTCTTTGCACGCTGCCACCCACTTCTTCAATGATAAAGGTAAAAAGTGAAAACAAGGATGATCTGCTATCAGATAAGAAACAAAATGGTACAAGTAGTACCTTCAATTGGATTGACAAATATGTGCCCCTCAAGGGCAGGCTTGGGAGTCTTGAAACATAGCATCAGTGTGTCACTAGTGCCCAGACTGACAGCAATATCTCCTTCCTTCAGTCTCATCCCAGCCAAAGAAGCTGGATTATCACCTGTAAATGCCACAACTTTGCAGTTAGGATTAAACCCATGCTGGTCAACCATGTACTGTGATACCGATCCAATTATTTCATAAGAAGGAACAAGATCACCAAGCTTTTCTTTTAAATCTGGAGCACATGCCTGCAAGAAAAGTAACAAAATCATAATGCAGTAGGCACTTCAAACTGG